TGTTAAACCCGGAGTACCTTCAGCTTTTTTAATTATTGTTTATGGTCCGATCTATGCAAAATGAACTGACTATGTCCTGAGGTCTTGCAGTGGTATGCTTGGGTTTAGTTTTAATTTTATTGATTATAGGATCCCAAGCAGGTGGTAGTACCCAGCCTCCTTCTCTATTGAAATTAGGATGTTTTTTAATTTCAATAGCCTCACGTATCATCCTTGGTAGGAATCGGTGTTCTTTCGCGAGGATTTGTGGTATATCAAATCTGATGTAATGGTTGGGGCCGTCTAGGATATGATCACAAACTGCAGACTTCCCGGAACGTTGATGCTTCACATCAGCTATATGTTCTTTTACGCGGGTCCTAATTGATCTTTTGGTTTGTCCTATATAAGAGAGACCACATTCACAATCAAGCTTGTACACTCCTGCATCTTGTAGAGGAATATGACACTTGACGGATGGTAGGAACTGACTAATCTTCTTCGGCGGCTTGTAGAATGTTCTAATAGAAGCTCGCTTCAAGATATAGCCAATCTTGTCTGTGACACCTCTGACATATGGTAGTACAGCAGGCACACGCTCGACTGTGGTACTACCATGCTTCACAATAATGTAGCCCACAACGCTATCCACAAATTATGCTTTTGTTAGCGTATACGTAGGCGGTCCCATAATGAATTGGCCTAACTATGAACCAATGAAGGAAATGAAACGAAACCAATTTTATTTTTCAATATAATCACCATGAATACTAACACACTTCTGACATCTGTGAATCAACATCTCTAAACCTTTATAAAAATAATCACATTTTTTATCCTCAAAATGACTGAAGACGGCCGCCTACAACTCTTCATCGCTTGAAAATTTTCTTCCTCTTAAGTCCCGCTTTAAATTTGGAAATAAATAATATTCGGACGGGCCATGTCTGGACTGTAAGGTGGATACTGAACTTCTGTGAACCAGCATTGATGAACTGCATCCTTCGAAACACCAGCGGTATGAACAGGGGCGTTGTCATGGAGCAACAGGACACCTTTAGACAGCTTGCCTCTTCGTTTTTCCCTTATCTTGTCTCGTAATTTATATATTAAAGAAGCATAATATTCGCCGTTCACGACTGTATTACGTTCTTTAAAATCCACCATCAAAATGCCTTGAAAATCCCAAAATATTGTGAACATCAGTTTTTTAGTCGATTGTTGCACCTTTGCCTTTCTAGGGGGCTTTTCACTCTTATAACGCCATTCCATTGACTCGCGCTTGCTTTGTGGATCATAATACAAGATCATAGTTTCATCACCAGTCACTAGCCGCTCGATCACAGTCTTTGGATTTTCGCCACAAAGATCCAAAAACTCCGAAGCGCAGCGCACTCTTTCCTGTCTCTGTACCGCTGAAAGAAGTTTCGGTACCCATCTTGCACTCACTTTTTTTCATGTGAAGATGTTCATGGATCGCGTGATGAACGGTACTCTTAGAGAGCCCAAGCCTTGCTGCAATTTCTATAATCATCAAACGGCGGTCACTCAGAACCTCCTCTTCGATAAGAGCAATCGTTTCGGGAGTGAGCACTTCCACAGGTCGACCGTCGTGGCCAAAGTCTTCGACGGTTTCTCTCCCGAGGCGAAACTCTTTCACCCAATTTTTCACTGTGCTATAGGAGGGGGCAGACTCCTTATACACGCCATCCAATCGTTCTTTTATTTGGGCAGGGGATAAACCTTCTTTAAGCAGAAACTTTATGACACTTCGATACTCAGTTTTCGACATTTTGAAAAAATACGCGACTCTCGTTATTCAAATGCCTGTTAAACTAAGACTAAGCATTTCATATCGATGCATGTTTCTTATATTAAGTGCACGATAAACGTACTATTTAATGCAACACAATATGTAGCGACATGTCGCGTTGAACTATACCAGGCCAGTTCATTATGGGACCGCCTGGTATGTCTTGTTGGTGTTAAATAAATAAGTAAATAAATATTAACGTCAATTACTGTTTTTATTTTATTAAATAAGTATTCAAGAGAAGTATTTGGATCTTTAATATTATAAATAGCTAAAAAGTCAATGTTTTGCATATCCGAATTAAGTTTATCGTAATATATTTTTCTGATAGTGTTGATGATGTATATATTAATGAGACACTGGCTAGATAAAAACCAAGTAAGCAAAATGCGAGAGTACTCGTTTTTCCGCGCCACCACCCATTTTTTTGTTTTTAATGTTTTTTTATGGCAGTAGAGAAAATCTCCGGTTCAAAGCAGAGGTTTGTAAGGTAAGTTATAATTGGAACGATAACATCATGGGCAGCTCTATAAGGAGTTAACATGTACTTATTTCAGCTGGGGGCACTATCAGATTTTAGGCTCATGAGCGTGGCGTACTTTATGGGGTTCTGAGTTTAGAAGCACAGAGAAGAAGATTGGTGAAGAATTGGACTTTTCATAAATTAATTGTGTTTGGGTGGTTGATTGGTGAAGATTAATAGGTGGTAGGACTCCTTTTGTGCTTGAGAGTCGGCTTGGATAGGTGCCAACTTGTTAACTATTTCTGTTGCTAAATAACACTGATGCACTGCTGTGTTTTGTTATTCATGCATCTGTTTTTCTTTATTGTAATAAAGTCAGCTGAAATTTTCTATGGATCGCAGTAACCACGTATCACCAGGTGGACTGAAGTTCGTTTATCACTTTAGTTTTATGAAAAAACCGATCCTGTGGTAGGTTTTTCATGATAACATCGGCAAAAGCTTATCTATGATAATTGTTTCACTAATTTATGGATTTTCTAAAGGAATCAGCTAATATAACATACTTTTAACGTACGTGGTAGAGCCATTATGAAGCTATATTAATTGTATAGCTGGAGCACGAATGGGTCGGTTTATCCGGGGAAAGACCACGCGCTCACAGAATACCAGCGTAAAATAGCAGCTTAATACTGGTGTGTTTCGTATGGTGAATGTAGAGAAGTGGAGACCCTTTTTACTGGAAAAGAGCCGTTCCATCTTAGTCTTCACGGCTGACGACGCATCCGCATTTTGTTTCACAAACGAGGATAATACGTGGTAAATACTAAGACTGCTAATAATTTAACACTAAACGAGGGTGTAGATGTAACATACATGAAAACCTACAGGTTTCTGTAAAGGAACCCTCATTTCTAGATGCAAATTGTCTCCAAATAAAAATAAACCATAATACCATTTTATCAGCAATACATCGACCATCAAATTATAGAGATGTCACTAGCTTCCTGCATTCGCTTGACATAACCTTGTCTAATATCACACATTATAACAATAGAATAATCTCTTTGGACATAAATATTAACATTCATGACCAATATCATGACATAAGCAAGCTTAATTACTTAAACTTTATTAGCATCACACGGCCTGCTTGAACATTCTTTGCCCACTAGACAAAATGCATGTTTTGATCATTTTTTCCTTAAAACTTTATTACCTGCTTCAACATTAGTCGCCCACTCAGCATTAACTGATCATGAAACCGTGTTATTATTCCTCGCAGGAAAAATGCCCAAAATCGCGGTTAAAAAAACAACGACGCGCATTAACTATTATCTGTTGACTGACGACATAAAAATAATTTTGGTGAATTATATAACACCCAAGATTCCGATGTACCAGCATAGTTAATGATAAGTCTTAACAAACAGGCGGTCGAAAAAAACACAAAAACCGTGAAAGTACCAAACTGTTAAAAATCGTTAAGCCATGGATCACTCCAGGCCTTTTACGCTGTACTCAACATAATTTCATTTTTGTGTAAGTTAGTTTACAAAAAACGCCAGATAATGATGTCTTAAAAATACATTTTACTAGGCACAAAAACTATTGTAATAAGTTGTTAAAAAAAAACAAAAAAAAATGGGAATATGAAAAAAATGAATTAAAAAAGGCTAATAATAACCCTAAACAACTCTGGGGAGTAATAAACAATATAACTAACAGAGGAAAAAAAAGAATGAGAATTCATCCCATCACTTATTAACTTTATTATTTACTTCGGAGCTATCTGTTAATTAAGTTAATGGTTTTTTCGCTAACATAGGTAAAAAAATTTGCGGAAAAGATATTGGGTGGACTTATAGAATCAACAAAAAGCCTTTAACAACAACTCGCAGTCCATGGCATTGTTCCAAGGGATGAGGACAAGGTTGCAAAGTTAATAATATCTCTCCGTAATGACTGTGCTGTGGATTGAGATGAAATATCCTTTAACCTCCTTAATTATATTATATAATTAAGGATTACTATTATTTAATAAAGGTATCAATGAGGATTTCCTCACAATAAAAATAAACTTAGAACACAGTAGTGTAGGTACAGCTTTTTGGTGACAGAATTAGATGAAACGGTAGTATATTTCCAGATGAAAACACATATCAAAGTAGGTGGGGATAGTGTTAAAATAATGCATATCAGTTGTAGGTTTCATAAGAAGGCCAGAAAACCAATAAAGCCGTGAATAAAAATATACTTAGTGAAAAATACCAATTCCAAGTTCATAGAATACTAGCAATCTATCAATCAATCATCAATCAATCACTAGTGATTTATTGATCTTGACAACAGTGCCGCATACTATATTTAATCACACATACAAATTTTCATCAAAAATCGATCCAGCCGCCTAGCAGTAGTTCGGCCACATTCACACGGACGGAAAAATAATGTGTAAAGATTGACTACAAAATAAATGTACTCGACGTTGGTTTATAAAAGATACAAACCGGTCATGTTAATATATGAAATCACTATTTAATTGTGTAAAAACTCGTTAGGCATATTTTCTTTCAAATAAATAATGGAGTCCGCCGAGCTAAGAACTATTAATATTCTAAGTTGCCAAGAGGCAACTAGCATGTATAAAATATGAAATAGATACCACAGTATTTTTTTAAATATATTATGCAGTTTGTTTTTGTGCTCTTTTAACTTGTCTGTGTATTCTTTCGGAGGCTCAAAATGTTGAAGTACGGGAGTTCCAATGAGTCCGTTGCGGATTTTTATGCGGGAAAATCCGTGTTCGTTACTGGTGGAACAGGATATCTTGGAAAGGTAGTATTTTGAACTTTTTAATTATAAGATATTTGTCATGATATAAGGGTCTAGATTTTGAAACCGAGTTCTATTCTACTCGTAGTTTCTAAAAAAAATATTTTCAAAATTTTATATCCTAACATTACTTAATGATTAAACGAACTTACCAAGTGAAGTTCGACCCTAATTATGCAAACAACTTCATTATAGCGATATATGTTAACTTATTGTAGCTCCACTTCCAAGCTTCCAGCCTTGCACGGTATTTAAAGGGAGGAAAAATGAATTTAATTGTAACACTGACACTCGCCGTTCGCTCCTGCATATCTTGCAATACTCGCTTCATTAGTTTAAAGAAATATAAATAGAGTTGCTGCCGATTAATTCGTGTTTATTTTACCATTTTAGGTAAATACAAGACTTTAAGTTTTTTTTACGAATTTTAGGAAGGGTTTGTGTTAATATATAGAGAAAACACAGTATTAAAATATAAATATAATAAAGGTAATTGATCAAAACTCCTTTGCGCGATCAATACTCTCAAATGTTAGTTAAATTAATGATGAACGATTAACAGAATGTACACAATGTATCAAAATGAATATTGATGAAAATGAGTATTGTTTCTAAGTACTTATAATCTATGAAAATTATTATTCCCTGTTTTATCTTTACATTAAAACTATAAACATCTACAATAAGTTAACATCCATTGCTAGATTGTAGCTGTGAATCATAATTAAATGATCAAACGAACTCACCAAGTAAAGTTCGATCCTAATTATGCGAACTATCATTTGACGGTATTGATCGCGCAAAGGAGTTTTCATCAATTACTGTGCCTTTATTATAGTATTTAGCAAAACGCTAGAAGTTTCACACCACCCGGGGCCTTTCTAATTACATCGATATTTACACCTGATCTATTGGCAGACGAAGTAGACGCATGACAAGTGCTGTGAGTCTTTAAGATTGATGTGTCAATGACACTAGTAGATAACGTTAATTTTGTCCAGTGGCTTAATGTTTGAGAAGAAACCACGAGGTGCAATTTTTTTGAAACTCATAAATAGTGAATCTTGACTGTTAATTCGTAAAGAGTCCGTTCTATTTACGTACGTAATTAAACACCGGACAGATTCCTGGTCTAGGAGTGAGAACACCGGTTAATTTACGTTTAGCCTATAAGTATTAATTAAATTAGAAATCTTAATCACTACATTACTCTTTTCGACAATTAAAACATTGGCTATTATTATGAGGGAAATAGTCTGAAAGTCTACGTGCCGTTACTAACGTCAATAATGTGACTGTCTTATTAGATAATACCTCGAGTGTTAATCCATCATTGGGTCAAAACTGTTCAAGATAATTTAAAATTAAAACCCAAACTAAGTCACATTTAGGTGGTCGTAACTTGAATACTCCTTTCATTAATCTCTAAATTCTGTCATCTTCAGGACTTCTCGACATTAAAAGTTTTATCGCTGATTTGTGAGAGTAAATAGAGCAGTACTTCACTCCCTAATAAAAAGCTCACTAAGGTAATGTAAAATATTTGGAATAGATGCACTCTTGTGACAGTAGTAATTAACTTGACAGTATTTCATCCATGCTTTTAAGCACCCATCATATTGCCTGAATGTACTATCTGTGAGGGAAGATAGCGTTATATCTACCGTTCTTGGGGAGAGGCGTCTTTCTACCAATGTTTGGCGTACAACTTTACGGCAATCAGTCTGAGCAGTCTGTACAACTTGTGATGATTCCTGAAAGGAGATTTAAGCAGAGTTTTACTAGGTTGAAAATAAATTGTCTCAGAAACTTTTAGTTTCTGTTGCAAAGGGTACCATGACTGAGTTGGCCAATCAGGTATAACAACCAACCTTCGGTTTTGTCTTAAATATTCTTCGGCATGGAAGTTTAGATTCTCACAGGAAATAATAAACGCATCTACAGCCCAAGAACATAGATTTAGTTTCCAGGATACAACGTTGAGCATTTTGCATTATTACGGCTTGCAAATATGTCAATAGCTAGACTGCCAAAATAGTCGATTATTTCTTGGAATGCATAATCGGCAGATTCCCAATCAGTATCCATAAAAGCTTTTCTAGAGAATTTGTTGGCTTCTAGATTTCCTTTCGTACTCATATATGATGCAAATAAAAAGAATATCCCTCTTTAACACCATTGGCATATTTGACGTTTTCCATTTTATTAATGCAAGCGATTGCAGTTGTATTGTTGATTCTAAGAATCTCCATATCGCTGCAATCTCTGGCAAATACTTTTAAAGCAAAAAACGTTGTTTTAAGCTCTAGTAAATTTATATGCAATGTCCATTTCTCCTCTTTCCAATAACCAAAACCTTTCTGTTTATTACAATATCCTTTCCAACCGGTAAGAGAGACATCGGAAAAGGTTTCTAGGATTAACACAGCATTATGAATGTAACATACGTGCCTTTTTTGAGACATTCTGATTCATCATAATAGAGTGTAGTGCCCAATTCAATCTATTCCCTGCATTTACTCATCGTTCTATTCCTTATCATATCTACCATCCCTGCTAAATACACATCCCAAATACACAAACTCATCCACTTGCTCAGTTAACTCCCCTTTTATTCTTATTTCACATACCGTTTTGCTTTCTTCTCTTTCAAAAACCATCACTTTCGTCTTACTTGAATTCACTTTCATTCCCCTTTCTTTTAATGCCCATTAATGGTTCATTAATGTAACCATCATTTGCAACTCAGCTGCCGATGACGCAAATATGACTTGATCATCGGCATACAAAAGGCATTTGACCGTTAACTCGCCCATTCTTAACCCACATTCTTCATCTTTCAAAGTTTGCAAACACCTGTCCATAAATAGGTTGAACAGCCAAGGGGAAGCTACACAGCCCTGTCTGACACCTTTTTGGATGCCAAACCAGTCCGCGTAGACTCCATTGATCCTGACACAAGCACTAGAGTCCCTATAAAGAGACCGTAATGCCTGTATCAAACCAGCGCTCAACCTATTTGAGTTCAGTGTATATTTTCATACTCTCTTAAATTGCAATTTATAGTACCCACAAATTTCTGAAGGTTATACATTTTTTATCTGGTAATTTTAATCTCATTTTAACTGAATCGAATATAAAACCCAAGAATTCGCATTTAGTTAAAGTACTAAGCCACTTTTTTCATAATTAATTAAAATACCTAAATTTTAAATTTTTTTAAAAGTAAAAGTAAAGTTACAGCCTATATACGTCCCACTGCTGGGCTCAGGCCTCCCCTCATTTCTGAGAGGGTTTAGGGCAAGGAAGTGTCCGCCGCGCTGCCCAAATGCGTGTTGACGAACTTCACATGTCTTCGAAATATTTTTTTTCTTATTCCTCAGACATGCAGGTTTCCTCACGATGTTTTCCTTCACCGCCGAGCACGTGGTAAATCAGCACGTAAAATTGCAATTAACAATTTCATTGGTGCCGGCGGGGATCGAACCCGGGTTACTCGCGTTCTGTTATATTTACAGCGAGCGTTAACCACTGAGCTACCACGGCTCTCAAATTTTTTTATAAATAGTAAATTATTATTGCATTTGGCATAAGAATTCCTGAACAATAGCAAATAATCTAAATAATTGACTGTAATTATATTGTTTAGATAAAGTATTCAACCACAGGTTTAATAATTTAGTAAATAAATAAGGAGCTGTGGATAATTCAAAAGGTAAGCAATTAAATTCATAAAGAATATCATTTACTTTAAATTTTAAATATTTTCTATGTAAATAGTGAACAGGTATTAAAAATATGCATCTTTAAGGTCAATAGATGCCACATAGCAATTTTGTGACATCATTTTTAATGCGTACGGCTTTAATTTTATTTATTAAATTAGTAGTCTTCCAACAAGTGGTGGACTGTCTTTACGAATTTCTTGAGACACTTTAAATTTAATATAAATCGCCTTTCGCAATTAGATTTTGGCACTAAGAACGCACTGGAAATGAATTCATCATTTTGGTGACTAGGCTAAGAAATAGCACCGATAAGTAATAGTTTTTATTGCAGGTATTAAAAGCATTTAATTACGCAGTAGATTTTGTAAAAGTGTGGATATCGTAACGCACTGGATTACAAATAAAAACAATTTTGTACACACTCAGCCATGAGAGTACGAGAGTGTCTCCCGTGACAGTCACCCATTGTTGAAAGAAGTGAGACAAGCGACCAGCATATCGTACCTCAGTGTTCAGCGACGATGTTGACCGCGAGGCGCATAGTGAGAGCGCATTGCTGAAGGGCTGTGATGCTCGTTGTATCTGCGGTAGATGGTCGTTGCTCTGGTTGGGACTGTTCGAGTCTGTGGCCGCGGTCTGCCAATGTCGGCTCGAACAGCAATCCTCCGAGATGGTTTAAATTCCTATTGGAATTGGCAGACGGTGGATTCCTAATAAAATTATTTTTATTAAACGAGGGTCTTTGGCTTGGTTTTAAAATATCGTTCGATTTCTATTGATATTTTGAGTCCCTTTTAATTTTTCACTAATATTTTCACCAAATAGATATTTATCGGGTATGGTATCTATAATTGCGTGTCTCTTCTGAATATTTATCGTATTAATAATAAAGCGTCGTCTTAAACGAGTTTCATTATAAAAAATATTACAAAAAGTCTACATGACTCGCTTACTACCAGTATAATTTGAAATGTATCGAGTTTTATTTGTAATAGTATATCCATACATGAACTGAGCGGACATAAGGTTATAGATATTTGTTTTTATCATTGTTGTAAGGAAAAATCACGTTTAACTTATATATCAGGTAATGCAGCTTTTACTTCAGCATTTAATATGGGTGGTATAAGTTTGTCAAGATTGTTAGGTATTACGTAATCACTTTTTCAACTTCGTATATTCTTTAAGTCTTCTTAGTAAAATGTCTTGACATCGGTATGCGATATTTTTTGTAGGTACTGATATCCCTAATTGAATCGCACTCTGCGGAGCATCTCCCAACAAACTTAAAATTGATTCACCTAAATCGTCCTCCATAGCGTCAGGCACAGACGACGGCCCTGGTTCGGAGGTGATTTTAGTTATAATAGGCGCTGCTGCCTCATGTGGTGAAAGCAAGTGGCCAGGCTGGCCCATATTGCCGTCATTGAAGGTGATGTTTTGCATTGCGTTATTTATTTCATTGACGGTACAGTTTGGGGTGGCACCTGTAATTATATTAGTTTTGCATATATTCAATTTTATAATACCTAGGAGGTAGGTAGTTATAAAAATATGCTCGTATTATATAGTTAATATTAATTTATTTTGGCGTGAAAGAGAGATCCCTAATGGTTTTCCGCATTACAATTTACATAGTAATATTTTTATGGATTTATGTATTTTGTTCTATAAAATAGTATTATTATATAAATATTTTATATGTGTGCACTATCTTTCTTGATTAAATGACAGAGAGAATCCTAACAGTTGCTCGCATCACATTTTTTATATTATATTCAATTTTTCCATAAAATGGCAGAGAGAACCCTAATAGTTCCTCCCAGCGCAAACTTGTGTCTTCTGGGGATTGAATGGAACTAGATTTATTTATTTTATTTTATTCTTTATTGCATCCTTAACAAAAGAATACAAAGGGCGGACTTAATGCCTTGAGGCATTCTCTACCAGTCAACCCATGGAGTGGTGAGAGTTTGACGTAGGTGTGGCAATATAGAATAAGATAACACAATACAAATGATAATTAACTACATAATATATACAAACTACTAATAAATAAACTATACATATATGATCTATCCTTATATATATACAAATATATAAATAAATGGATGTACATACAAGTAAACATATTTAAATACATACATAATTAGTATATACAAATGACTATGAATATATACGTCTGTTTGGCAATACATATTAAATAGATAAGTCATGTAGAATGCGTTGTCTTTAATAAATGATCACGGACCAACTTTTTAAAAGCGTACTTATTGGGAGCTTTTCTGATGTCATCGGGCAAGGAGTTCCAAAGGCGTGTAGCCTGAACTGTGAAGGAGTTACCATAGAACTCGGTGAAGTGAACTGGAGTACAGATTTTGTTGTTAGAAGAAGAGCGTAGGACCCTATCATGAGATGAGGAAAGATAATGAAATTTACTCTTAAGATAAGAAGGCGAAGATGGATCATTTAATATGGAAAAAAGTACAAGTAATATTCTGGAGTTGCGCCTCTGCCGGATTGTAAGCCAATTTAGCTTAGATCTATATTGCGAAATATGATCATACTTACGAAGCCCAAAGATAAATCTTATACAGTTATTGAGGAGGCGTTCCAGCTTGTTCAGAAGATCTTGGGACAGGTCTGGGTAACACACATCTGCATAATCAATTATGGGTAATATAAGTGAATGGACAAGCATGATCTTAGATTTTGTGGGGAGAAAATGCTTAAAACGATACAGAGAGCATAACGCGGCAGTGACTTTACGACTCACATCTGAAACCTGAGTTCTCCAATTCAGCGTGCTGTCGATGTGAAGGCCAAGATTTCTAACAGAATTACTGAATGGAATTGTAGTATTATCATTGTAAATAGGAGGTAAGTCTGCCAGATTAATCTTAGCCAGCATCCTTGAGCTACCAACCGGTATAGCTTGGCATTTCAAAGGATTGACCAAAACCCCATAACGAGTTGACCAATCCCTGATAGCTGCTAAGTTGCCGTTAAGGTTTTTGATCCCATTATGGATATCCCCAATCTCAGTTTGCACATAAAGCTGAAGGTCATCGGCATACAAATGGTACGAGCAGTCGATGATGGAGGTAATAAAGTTTATAAAAATTGAAAACATTATAGGAGAAAGAATACCGCCTTGCGGCACACCAGCATCCACATCAGCCCACGCAGAGGACAGTTGCCCCACACTGACTGACTGCTGTCGACCGCGAAGATAAGATGTAAACCAATCCAATTCAGTAGGGCCAAAATTCAGGTGAGACAGTATGGAAAGATTTAGTCGCCCCCAATTCGAGACTTTGTTAAGCAAAGACTTGACTTCAGACATAGGCTTGTCCCGGTAATCGGCGACGATTTCCCGAGAAATATTGGCATGGCCGGTGTATAAAGCATCACCAATGCTGTCGTCTGCATAGCAATGAATGTTACAGGTTTGCAACATATCATTGATATGCATAAGAAACAGCGTTGGTGACAGCACGCAGAATTGTGGAACTCCAGCGTCAATAGGCTTATAATCAAAGCATGCACCGTCTACTATGACCTTGATGCTCCGATTATCAAGGAAACTAGTGATCTAATCGCACAACTCGGGAAGCCCACAGGAAGGGAGCTTTGAAAGAAACGCTTTGCGCCAGACCCGATCGAAGGCAATCGCTATGTCCAAACTAACGGCCAATGCCTCCCCCTTGAACTCTACTGCCTCCGCCTATTTATGAGAAATGTAGTACAGAAGATCACCAGCTGATCGACCACGATGGAAACTGTATTGGCGGTCACTGATCAGCTTGTGATCCTCAAGGTACCTCATGAGCTGGTAGTTTACAATCGACTCCATTATTTTGGAGAACATGGTGATGGCGATATGGCTGTAGTTGGACGGGTCTGAGCGGTACGTGCAAAGGCTCGAGCACGGAAATGTCAAATGAAGCGAGTATCGCGGAACATGCAAGTGGGGCAAGTGGCGAGTGTCAGTGTTGCCATTAAATTATTCTTTCCTCCCTTAAAATACCGTGCAAGGCTGAAAACTTGGAAGTGGAGCAATAAGTTAACATAAATCGCTAAAATGAAATCGTGAAGCATAACAATTGTTGCCATGTTGTGGCTGCGTAGGAGAATCTGCAACTGCAACTGAGGCGACAGAGAGATACTGAAACAGAATATAGTTAGCAGCATGTTTTTTTTGTGCGAATAAAAATGTTTTATATTTAATACCAGTACCAGTTTAATATTTAGTTAGAAACATTTAGGTCAGAATGAAATATCGTGTCTTATGTTATGTAAAGTTATTGCAGGGATATTATTATTATTATTGGCTTACTTCGAATAATTTTATTATTATGCATATAAAATGCGCATTATCTCGGAATAAGCAAGTAGATAAGTAAACGTAATTAAAAAAAAACAATTGCTATATTTGCATATTGCTTTTAATGACTAGAAAAAATTAAAATTTATTTTATTGTTAATTATTTTTTTTTTTCTTATTAATTATTTTAATTGCTTAATTTATTTTAATTGCTGCTTATTAAATAAGTAACCAAGATTATATACAAGTTGTTGTTTTAACATAAACCAAATAATTAAAAAAATTAGGACTTACAAGATTCGATTTTCTGACTACATTTTGCGATGATTGTACTAGAACTATTTTTTTTATCATAGAGCTGTAGTGTCAAACGAACCCATAGTCCACCTAATGGAAGGTGACTACTATAGCCCTCGGACACCTGCAGCCAACGTCACACAAAGGTTACAGAGACGTTGTCACCTTTAAGAGTTATCTATTGATGGAATACCTCACAGCCTGTAACTGTTATTGGTTCTCTATTATAGATGTAGATGTGTACGAGCCACAGCATCTACTTGCCATCAAGTAAACTGTGTGCTCGTTTGTCATTCTTATTCTATTTAAAAAAAAAAACTAACACCGAAAAGGATTTTATTTTACATGACAATGGGACGTAGTTTAGTGAGCCCGAATTGAGTTCTAGATTATTTTTTTTTAATTACAAAAATTACCAATTTAGAATTTACATACAAAAATTGTGTTGAAGTTTTCATGAAAAAGGAAGAACTGTTTATTGAAATATCTAATTACACCTTCGGAGTTTGCGTATCTCGGAAAGAAGAAGAACGAAATAAGTAAACTTGCATGTCATAGAAAATAAAATGTATAGGGGACGTATTGCATTAATGATGGGTAATCCGTATTAGAAACATAGAAGAAAAAAAAATTGTTACTTAATTTCTTCCCATAGGAAGCAACTATGGGATATGACAAAAATATCTTATGGCGTTATATTCATTTCACGTCAGACGTAAAACACTCAGACCAGTGAATGGTATAGTACAATTAAAAATGTGAGACATCTGGTACTGTGTTTGTCAAAGCGTGTAGCAAATCCACAATGGAAGGGGCCGACGCCTTACAGTTAACATTTACGTATTGATAATAATGATTATGATGACTATTTTTAAAAGTTGTTATTTTATATTTAAATGAAAAACTAAAATTAATTTTAATTTTAGGTATTGATAGAAAAACTACTCTACAGTTGCGAGAAACTAGACAAAATCTACCTTTTGATACGCGAAAAGAAAAATGTTAGCCCAGAGAAACGATTACAACATATTTTTGAACAACCAGTGAGTATATTGTTTTAGGTTTTCATTAGATTAGATGTAATTTCCAAATGTAAATTCTAAATTGGTCATGAGTCGACCATATAGCTTGAAAACCGAGAGCCGATGAGTAAAAGGCACAGAAATCGTAATTATTACAATTTCTGTGGGAAGAAGGTAGTACAACCGATGAAGAAATAAAGGTTTTAACGGCTTCGAGGATTTACAGTCTCTTACCGGTAAGCACGGCTTTGTGCAATCTACCATTAGAAGCAGTGAGGACCTGAGGAAACAAGCAGGAAGTCGACGGTTACATATGGCTGAGGACCGTGTATCTGTGGAATCATATCACTGAAAAGTAATCGATATAAACACACCACTAATAATATAGTGTTAATACGAACTATGTAAATATTGGCACACACAAATTTTCACCAGTAATATACAAATTATCAAGAATATTATAAAAGAGAGACCGCAATATGATGGTATTATAAGAGGTATCTATGTACTATTATGAAAGTAGCATAAAAATTCATAAAAATATCATACAAACATCATCATAGTTATGGGAAATATAAAGAAATATCTTATGTCTTTTCATTTATCTCATTACTTTGTAGCTATTAGTACGGGTTGGGTTTGAAATTAAGTCGCCTGAATTTGAGGATTCTGTACATGAGGGGGGAGGTCAAGGGTGAAGCACCCTCATGCAATCGATGCTGCCAGAGCAGCGTCGAAGTATTTTTAATTATTTATTAAAAATATTGGTAAATTACTAACTAACGTGAAATGGAACGTACATTTAACTTAATTCTAACGTTTTTGACGTTGTATCTGTCAAAGTTATCTCAAAATGCTTTAAATGAGTCGCTAGAACGGCTATTTTATTGACAGTGACAGATATACTTTACGTCATTCCGTTCTTTCGGGGTTTACGTGAATATGGGGCTCCGTCGACTGGACTTCCCTCGACTACGCTACGTTGAGTGGCCTGGGGCTTCCCTCCACCAACACTCTTCCCCAATAAATTGGGTTTATAGTCAAAACATTGCAAAAACATAACCACGCTCTACCCCCTGATTCAGGTGACTTAATTTCAAACCTTACCCATGGTAGGAATATATTTTGTTGTTTGTTTTATAAATTATATGAGGATATGCAAAATTAAAAAAAATACTAACCGTTGTTTTTATATATATATATATATATATATATATACATCAATACATATATATTTTGTATTAGAGTGACATGCATACTGACAGTCCGCCTGATCAGTCGTACTTGGTCACTGTAGCCCTTGGGATACCTGGAATCACGATAAAAAAAAACAAAAAAATATTCATAAGTACGTTGTCACACCTGACAACTAGATGAAGATGAAGATGAGAACCGTACGTTCTCTATTCTATCAAAAAGTTGATATTTTGCAATGGAATCATAAAAAACAATTATTGCTTATTATTCCAACAACTGATGTTATTTCTTGGCTGTATTTTTTCCAGATTTTTAAGCGATTAAAGTGTAAAGGAGCAGATTATATGCAAAAAGTTGTACCTATTGTTGGTGACATATCTGAGCCAAACTTAGCAGTTACAGAAGAAGATGAGAAAGAACTACGGGAAAAGGTAGATTTATTGCGCGTTTAATCAAAAGAAACTTTTCAAGTCATAACTACAGTTAACCCTTGATTAAAACTAATTTTACGGATTTTATCGCGATTAATTTTAATTATTTTTATTTCCCGCCGTTTCGGGTGCTTTCCAGCACCCATGGTCACGGGGGACTAAGGTGACTGACGTCCCGATGTCAATGTTAACACCGAGTACCTTCAGCTTTTTTAATTATTGTTTATGGTCCGGTCTACGCAGAATGAACCAACAGTTGGTCTTGGTCTACTCTTGAATACTACTAAATGGACACTGTAATTTTTTAGGTCGTCATGTGGGTTATTAATTTAAAAATCTTTGAAGCTTAATATTTTAAATGTGAATACCTTATTTTGGATTTAAGTCATTGTTTTGCGTTTATTGACAATTTTAAGGATATTTCTAAAATAATTGCTATTTCCAATTTTTAGGAACGATCTATAATAGAGGCGGTAGGAGAGCTTATGTCACGGAATACAAATACTGAGCTTGACCGATTTCTTTAATTTATGGTTTATTCTAGGTTCTTGTTTTTCCAAACGGCAAAATATTTTCAAGTGCTAAACTCACTCGTGGTGGGTGTGGCTATCGTCATTGGTCCTGCACTTAACCTGTTCAGTATATGTAGTGCATGCTGTTCAGCTGTGCGGACTCAAAAATTCTTTTATTGTTATGTGTAAATTTATTTATATATAAATATAAATAAAAAAGTGTCTACCTTTAATATCGTATTATTACATTTCTATTAAGCTTAAGAGAAATAACCTCTTACTTGCTTTTCGGACATAAATGACCATTTTCAAAAAGAAATATTTGTCTGTCACTCCGGGCTAATTTTCGAGATGGCTGAACGGATTGTGATGAAACTATATGAACAGATATAGTGCCATTGCACAATGGCATTCCAGGACCGCCAGGAGTAACCTAGGCTAAGCTTCATCGTAAAAACGTCCGGATTATTTTTGTGATATCTAGAAACTGATAAAACGAACGGGTTTTGATGATTATCTCATAAATTTCGAGTGATATCAAAAAGTATCGACAGAAAATTTTTGGTTGACAATTCTTACACATAGAAAGTCCTTAGGCTTCTTGTCTCAAAGAATCAAAACCGATTTAAAAATTTTCAACAAGACTATAAGTGTTTCCTTCAACAAGGTTGAGACATTTTTACGTGCGATTGGTAGATCCTTAGTTTTTTTTTCTCACATGCCTCAATTAGTTTTCGAGACAATAGCAAAACAACTGAGTTTAAGCTTAGCACGCACTGCGATTGCAACTGAAACCGCAAAAAATGTAACACATAGCTTTCTATACAATCGCACGCATTAGCGAATTTTTTCAGTGACTGATTTAAAAAAATTTACTTGCTACATTTGGATCGCGGTTTGTAAACGCGCGATTTTTATGTGTCCCATAGTAATAGCACAGCGGTTAACATTAAAGTAATATGTACTTACGTACTAAAACAGCTATTTCAAACAAAAAATGTGCGCTACTCTGTGTTCGCGCGGTTGGTTTTTTATCATAGAATATACATAGGTAGAATGATCCGTAGGTAATAGTAGATTGTATTTTTAAATAGGTAAATTACATCGAGAACAATATGTATATTGTGTCATTTATTTTGTATATTATATTTGCTTATTTAACATAATATTACATAATATTATATCACAATTACATTTTAATGATATTTTTATCTGAATATTTTAAAAGGAATATGTGTCTATATATATATATATATATATATATATATATATATATATATATATATATATATATATATATATATATATATGTCAAATATAAAAAATATACTAAATGTATGTTTAACAAAACTTATTAACATAACATTTAAATTACAAATGTTCGCGATGGCCTAACAACGCTAAGAAACAAAGTGATGAAAGAATATTGTTTTTGTATTAACAATGAAATTACCGACAAAACTGGGTGAAAACGTGTATTGATATAGTTGTGTAGCATGTTTATAACTCTTATTATATTTGTATAGAATGTCGTTTTGATAACAACTGATGTAAACAACTTTCATTGTATTAAGAAAAATCGACCAATCGCAGCGCGTCGTATCGTAGAACTCTCTAGAAGTTATTAATTAACCGCGTAATAGTTCATACCGAAGATAATGAGAATAATTTTGTGTTCTAAAAGAGTTGTAAATATGACATTGAATTAGCATATGGCTTATAGATTAAGAAAGTGTAGGAATATTTTGTATAATTAAACGCATTTGATAGTTACATAAAAATCAAAGAATTAATGTACCCAAATATTATGAAAATTTGGGACATTTCGTTTAATAACTTTTTACAATGTTAATGTTTTGAGAATTGATATACTAATAAAGTACCAGACTACCGATTTGATGATGTATAGCATGTTAGTGTAGCAATTAGTTTTGTATAGAAAATATTGCAATTTATGCCATTTGTATAGTGAAAAGTTTATGCAATAAAGAGGCAAAAGGGAAAATGGCAAGCGGCTCACTGTAAGGTATTGCTAAAGTCTACCTTAGGGGCTCGGGACCCAGTACCAAGAGTAGTGTGAAGAACTACCAGTGACAAGCAGTAGTATCCGGTAGTAGCTGAAGTGACTAGTAGCAGTATATAGTTAATAGTGAAAGTGTTAGCTAGCCGAAAAAGGTCGTAACTGATATTCGCAGTTACATATAGTGAAAGTGGTAACTGATATCCGCAGTTACACAAGTGATAAAATCAGCTAGTTTAGTTGATAATAGCTGCTAGTCAGTAGTGTTAGAAAACCAGCTACTACCAATAGATATTTGATACCGTACCGTACAATTTAAAGAAATCTTTTGTAATATATGGCAGTACCACCGCCCATAGTTGAACAACCGTAGTCAATAAACAATAGTTATAAAATTTCGCGACTAATCAATCAGTCGATCTGCTGGCCACTACCAAGCTACTTGTATTTAAAAATCGTGCATTTTGATTTGGACCTCAGTCTACAATATCTCAGCGGCACCCACAAAGACGGCAGTGGAAGTATCCTCCGGAACCTATAGGTGTAGGACGTTAGCGACTCGCGAAGTATCTTCGACAACATTTACTTCGAAGAGTTTCGCCCGTCCGGCACAACAAATATATTTATTTAAATTAGATTAAGAGTCGTTCATAAATGCTGAACACGCGATAGTTAAAAATGGACGATGTTATTCCACTTTGACTTTGATGTGGAGACCTAAAAATAAAATAAAAGAATAATAAGCGGATTTAAATATGAAAAATTTAGCCTAATTATAATAACTTATATACGTTTCTACAATAAATGTGTATAATAATATATTCGTCCTATACTTAAGTACCCACATAAATGTCGCATCTGAACATATTAATTTCATAATCTATATTCCATGACACGAGATGGCGTCTTAGGAATAATTTGTTTTATTATTAATCTATAATACTTTTATTGATTAAGTATCTTATTAAACGATGAAAGGTAATTCCTTGGTTTTTACTGACATCTCTTCGATTATTTGTGCAATATCTAAGTACACACGACGGCACATTTTTATCAAGAGATTTTTTTTAAGTCAAGACAAACGTGACAACTAAACAAGTGCCTAGCGAGTGACTGATTAAAGTGCAGTGTATGCACCTCAGTTGAGTGGAACAGAGTAGCTGAATGCAGTGTCGCCTCTAGTACGTAGTACATAATAGCTCAATGGCGGTTAACCACGTTCTGTTTTTATTCAGCTCTTCAGGTGATATCGCCATTCAAAATTCAGTGTCTTCATGTTGTAGATATTGGCCCACAGCTTGTAATAATTTATCAAATGTACCAATCGATATTCTGTTTTAATTAAAAAACTTATCGGGATGTTGTCGCACGCAATTGTACATTTTGCAAAAGTATCCTTTCAGATCTCTTTGATCTGTTAGTGGATGTACCCAGACCTTATAGCGGCCGCGTTGTTTAGGTTTTCTATTTCTTAATTTATTAAAAACTAAAGCCGTCACACACGCTACTCGCCAGAAATAAATGGTGGTACTGATATAAAATTAAGCAAAACGCCAGCCGCAGTGCGTATGCGGTTTTGCGTTTTCAGCTACTCCTAACCACTCGCGTTTAATCGCAGTGTGTGCTAAACATTGACTTATATACTAGCGTAAGGACCGTGCCGAACGAACAACTAAAACGGACCAGATCGTTCATCAGTGGTGCGCGCGCAGGACAGATTTGATTGTCATCTTGTCATAAATATGCCTAGTTGCGTTATAAATGGATGCAAAAATTACGATACAAGGAAAAAAAGGAACATGGGATACCTTTTCATAGGTAAGTAAACGTTACGTGAATTTTGTTATAATTAAATTATTATATAAACGCATTTTCAACACACAGTTTTACAGTTAGTCCGCTTAGTTACGTTACCAAGATTACGCCAGGGTTGGATTCAGACCATCAAAAATTGTACATGGAAAATAAAATTATATTATTTTCAAAATATCCAAAATTGTACCACGTTTGACATTTCATGTTCCTTTTTCCCATGCGCCGATTTATTGGCATCGTGCGAATAATCTATACGTTTCGTTATTTGACGGTTTTATTTTTATTTCTGTTTTATTTCGTATGAAGTTAGAGTAAGTTAAATTTTGAACATTGGTACCTACCTAACTTTATCTATATTCAATAGGGGTAAAACGAAAGAAGTACCAAAGAAACAATAACTTCTTACTATTTTTTTTACTATTAACTTTTATTAACTACTTATTGAAACTGAAAATCTGATTCATAAAATATTTTGAAATTCTGTTTTCTTTCAACACCCAAACTGACAGAAGCTGCTGCCGTCATCAAGCTTCTGGTAAAAATGAATAGGCGAAGACTTATAAAGAATGTTTATACATCTGCGATGACAAATTGCGTTTCAAATAATTTATAAATTACAGATTTCCAAATAATTCAACAGTCAAGAAATTTGGAGTCGTATTATTAGGGAACAACGAAAAGAGCCTTATTTCAAGCCTCATAAAAACGCAAGAGTATGCTCTGCTCATTTTTGTGACAAAGATGTTGATATTTCAAAAGCCGGACTACGAAGGCTGAAAGGATCGGCTATACCGCGATTGGAGACTGAGGTATTGGTCTCATGCATACCTACTTATCTACAGTAAAATAAATTTTGTTTACTTGTTCTCCATATTCAGAACCCTATCTATATAAATTATTTACAGGTTTGGGAGAATGAAGAACTCCGGCCTTCAACCGATCTCAATTCAATATTTGACACGCCAAGGGAAGTACACCTAAAAGAAAGAATTCATAGGTTAGAAAAAGGTCAAAGGGTTTCAGCTAAGAAAATAAAAAATTAAAAAAAAAAAAACAGAATGCTTGGTAAAAAAAGAAAAACAAATCACTGCTATATATAATTAAAGATTTGAAACAGAAGAAGTATATCACAGAGGAAATTGAGTCTGCTCTTGGAACAAAAGCCGAAATAACAGAGCTTTATAGACTACAACTGCTTAAAAATAAATACAGTAGAAATAGAAACAAGCCAAGAAAAACAAAGCGACCGTCTTATCCACCCGCCCTTAGAAAATTTGCTATGACATTAAATTTTTACTCTTCATCTGCCTATAAATATGTACGACGAAAATTTGACTGTTGTCTTCCTCACCCAAGAACCTTGACTAAATATGGTAAATTAAGAAAGACTTGTTAGTTATGTGTTATAAACTGGACGCGTATATATTTTACTTCATAGGTTTGATTGTACTCTTTGTTATAGGTCCATTAATGGCGAACCTGGATTTTTCTTTTTTTTTTTTAAAACGTTACCCCTACACTAAGATTTTCTCTTGATTCGTTGCAGTTTACAAACATAAATTGCACAAGGACAAACATCCAGACCCGGAACAACTATATGTAGGCCATACAAATAATTGTTCCGTGCGAGATTCGAGTCCGCGACCCCCAGCGCAGCCACTCATTGCTAAGCCACTGCGCCACGGAGTCGTCAATTTCACAGAGGAGTCGTTTGAAATGCTTAAACTCAAGAGGGACAGTATGTCAGAAAATGTTGAATGCTGTCTAATTTTTGATGAGATGAACATTCGACAGGCCAAATTACGGAATGGCGAAAGAAATGTTGGTCACGTAGACATGGGGTATGAAAAAATTGACGAAGAAAAGAAAGCCACTAAAGCTTTGTAATGATGCTCGTTAGTCTTTCTGAAAATTAGAAAATACCAGTCAGTTATTTTTAATGGATGGTTTTACTAGTGAACTTATAGCAAATACTGTTAATATTTGTCTTGAAAAATGTAATCCCGTCGGTGTCAATGTCGAAGCTCTCACATTCGATGGATGGTCTACGAATGTTAAAGCTGCAAACATTCTGGGTTGCAACATAAGTAGTACAAGTCAATTAAAATATACTACTACTACAATTAAATAATACTAGTTTTTACGGAAAAACAACATTCCCTCACCCTGTTACAAAAGTAAGTATTGTAGTTTTCATGGACGCATGCCACATGATGAAGTTGGTAAGGAACGCGTTTGAAAAAAAAAAAAGATAATTTTCAACGAGGAAGATCAGCGAATAGAACGGAAATTTTGATTTGGCTCTTAAAACTCCAAACAAACCAGCGGCTAAATTTTGCTAATAAATTAACCTTAAATTAACAGACACATACATTTAAAAAACCAAATAATGAAAGTTAAATTAGCAACTCAATTGCTAAGCCGAAGTGTTGCAAAAGCACTGACAACCTGCAACGAAATATTACAATGTAGTTATTTTTCAGAAAGTAGTGCGACAGTCGATTTCATTAATTTGTTTAATAATATATTCGATATTTAGAATTCTCGCAGATACAATTAATATGGATACAAGAGAGCCATTTCTCCAAAAAATAAAGAAAAAATATTTAATTTTATTAAGGAGGCTATTGGTTACATTAAAGGTCTAAAAATTTTTGCTAATGTGAAAAGAAAGATTAAACGACATAACAGACCACCACGAATTATGATGATTATTAGAAAAAAAAAGTATTTTGGAATCTAGAAGCAAAATGGGATTCTTAGATTGTGTGCTTAGAAAGTATAAAATTCCTCTATTTAAATTTAGTTGAGTCGAATTCTGAATTGAAGTACATTTCAACGTTTAGGGCTATTTTTTAGCTTGATAAGAAAGCACGGTGGATACAATGATAACCCAAACGCTATACAACTCAAAGGAGCGTATAGGCGTTGCATGAATCACTTATCACTAAAATCGTCATTTACTGGAAACAGTATTCCTTTGGATAATTTTCCAATATTAACTGTCTCATCTGTAAATGCTATTAACTGTACCACTGAAATGAATCGTCACGCAGAAGAAGACAAGCCCATGGACACATCGACAGGTACATATCAGGAGGAAAATGATATAGTTTATTCAAATAACTGTGCAAAGTTATCGCATACTTTGGATAACCCAACTGAAAACGTCTTTGAGCACCTCACAGAGAATATAGAACTCATTATTGGGCATATTGCCGGATGGGTAGCCAGAAGTTTAACAAAAAAGATTAAGTGTGAAATTTGTGTAAACAGTCTGGTTAGTAATGAAAAACTATTCTTTTATAAACTGATTGAATTAACAAATATGGGCGGACTTTGCTTTCCTTCTCCGGACCAGTTTGATTATTGCCTAGAAACGGAAAAAAATATAAGACACAGTTATAGACCCCAATTTATGGCAAAAAGTGACTATATGTTTCGGTCAACAAAAACTCTAGCAAAGTTTATAGGAAGGAACACTTTCACTGTTTTAAACTTGCACTCTCTTGATTAGCCGGCAACATTGAATCATAGATTGCACCTTATTCGAGCCATAATTAAGAAGTATATAAATGTCAGAATGCATCACGAGTCTATCATGGAAAACACGGGGAAGGGAACTGAAAGGCAAAGATTAAAAAAAATTGTTTTATTTAAAGGACAATAATTGTAATGTTGTACACAAAAATATCCAAAATTTTTCGTCTTTCTATTTTCGGCTTTTAAAATATTCTAATACTTAATTATTATAACAATAATATTACATATAACAAAATTAACTTGTTTATAACTTCAACTAAAGCTCTTTGAGATTAATTTGTTTTACTTACGTTTTCTTTGTTACCTGTAAAATATCATCGCAAAAAAGAAATCGTTATATGTATCGGCTTGCAACTGAGTTATACTAACCAACTACGATAAAATGTGATAAAAATCATGTATGCATATACAAAGTTATGTCGTCGAATTATGCAAGGCAGTACTTACGCACAATACAGAAATTCTCGATATTGTAGGGTTAATATTGAATAGTAGTAATAAATAAATAAATAAAATTACGGTATTTTCGCCTAGTTTTATTAAGATACAACACTCTATGAAATAATGGAAAAATTGTATGATTATATTACGAAATCCGATCCTGGTTACGTCGTGTATGACGTTTGAATTATGACAGATGCGCAACTTTTTCTTGTATGAAAATGTTATGAGTAAATTATTTATATGGGCCTATCCTTACGCTAGTAATATATAAGTCAATGGTGCTAAACCGTAGGATGATTTTTCTATAGTTGAACTACTTGCTCAAAGACCGCTATTATAGATCCGCAGGTTTTTTATATAAGTTCTACATAAATGTTATCGTGGGTTATAGCTAGTATTATATAATAAAGCATAGGGTTTAGCCAAAATACACGTAAATATAAAACGATATATTTTTTTATAAAATATTAGTAATTTTATTAATTAACATTACTAATATTCCTTTTAACCACTCCTGGTAAGCTTGATATGCTTGCGTTAGGAGTGGTTCACGACAGTAATCAAATGGCGGATCCGAACCAATGACCTATTGAGTTCGCGATTCGCGCCCTGCCGTTAGGCTACTGTCGCTTCAAAACTGTACATGTACTTGAATATAGCAGCACTGCATAGTAATTTAAGTTTATTAGTTTCAGTTTTTTCATTTATAAATTGTATATTTTCGAATGTTATGTAAATAAAATATTGAGAAAAAAAGGCCTTAAAGAACTAATCCTAAGGTCTTAAAGACCTAATCCTATAAATTTACTCATTAATAAATCTCGCAACACTTTTAGGTCTCTATAGTTTTCCATATGGCAGCGACTGTTAAGTTCAACGAACCCTTAAAAGTTGCCATGAATATAAATTTCGAAGGAACAAGACGAGTTCTTAATCTATGCAAAAAAATGAAGCAGTTACAGGTAAGTTGCTGTTAAGATAAAAATGACATATTTGATATTAATTTTAAACTAGTTAAGCTAATTTAATTTAAACCAATCCGTTTTCCAAACGTGGCAAACGAAACGGCTATTACTTCTGTAATAGACCAGCTTTGAGGTTAATATATATAATACATACATAAACTTAAAGCCTGTCGACAAGAGGATGGGTAGAGGCTACGGAAGTCTTTAATACGATTCTGATACAACGCTCGCGCTCCTTTTCACATTCATACTTACCTACCATACTAAGCATTACAAGTTTGTCGGTAAGGGTACTCTTAATTTAGCCCATCGTGAATCGCTAATTTGGTTATTAAACTTCCGTCTTTCCAACTTTTACGCGTCTAAATAACGGAAGGATTTCTTTCTTAATTATTGTCACAACATTTCCTCGCAAAAGTGTAGCTTTTTAAAACTTTTTGAAAATTCATCAAAAAATATTAATGCTTAATAATTCTTCTCATGTGATAGCCACGCTGTAACTATATTATGTTTATACAACTAGGTACAGTTAGCTCAAATTGGTCGTAATCCGCTAGACTGGGGAAGGACCACGTGTTTCGTATAGCGAAGTTATAACGAGGCATTCTTTATTGGTAATTAGGGGTGACAACTCATCTGCATTTTGATTCTTAATCAAGGATAGACATAGTCGATGGGCCACAGCATCTACTTACCATCAGGTAGTCGGTGTACTCTTTTGTTTCCCTTATTTTATATAAAGAAAACTTTATTTCAGACATTTGTCTACGTGTCTACTGCTTATACTAATACAAATCGCGAGATTATCGAAGAGGTTATTTATCCTCCACCAGCCTCTTATGAAGAAGTTTATACTGCACTTCAACAATACGGAGATAATGATAAAGATATTAGAAAACTTTTGTGTAAGTTTTCCGAAGTGTGATTCTAATGTAAGTTTTGAATTTAAATGTGTCACTGGATTCAAATATGTCCGACTTGATGTTCGCAGAAAATGATTGGTAATATTGGTGATAATACAATATTTGAGGAAAAAGAAATTACAATTATATTATTATTAAAAAGAAGTTACAATATTTGTCAAGTACAATTTTATTTATTTATTATTACTTAAATAAAATTGGGTGGCCGAAAATGCGATAATATTCTTATTTGGAAATGCTGAATAAAATCCCAGCGGTCAGTACGTATCGGACGTAGGCTCCAACTCTGATGGGTGTGCAACTATTCGAATTAAAAAAAGTTCTTTAAGTATAACGAATACCAGTAGGTGCATTCTCGAAAATGTCTGTTGTATGTCCATCAAAAGAATTTAAAGTCTATTGTAATGGTGTTATGTATAATCAATTGAATGATATTTTCATTTGAGCCATCCTACGAAAAATAATGACAACAATCGTGTTATTTGTTTGTTTATGGCAAAAGGCGCTTGCCGCCATTGTAATGAAAGTAGTTTAAAATTAATCTAGAGTCTATTTCAATAAAAATTTACGAGGAAAGTATGTGAAATTAAATGTACAGTATGAAATTTTACAGCAAATATAAAATTTTGCGAAGACTGTGGTGTCACGGCTACTGGACCACTTTCATGAAAAAAAAAATCTCTTTGAGACTATCAATAAACTGCTTTGTGTAATAAGTTGCAAAATAATTATGATTATGATGATAAGTAGCAATTTTAATCTCCTTATAATAAATTTTCTTTGTTTCTATTTCAGGTGATCGACCCAACACGTACACTTTCACGAAGGCACTTGCTGAGCATTATGTAGCGGAACAGCAAAACAAGATACCTACTGTTATAATAAGACCATCAATTGGTAAAGATATTTCAATATATCGAAACTAAATACTAAAACCACTTAGAGAATTTCCTTCTTACAATGTATTAATTGTTTTCTTTTCATTCATATACCTAAATATTAGAACTTAATTTTACAGTAACAGTGGTTTGCAATTTGAAGTGAAAAACTTCTTTACCATCGTTGTGATTTGAAAGTCTATGAAACAAAAGAGCGGCAGTAAAAATAGACAGACACATAAATTCATAAGATTTAACGTGGGAGACAATGAGATAGGAAGCATTATAGCTCAATGTTCACGAGAAAAAGTCGTAAAAGCCTCCGAAGCGGCGTCGCTTACGCATTTTGTTCAACAAGGCACGAAAGTGTCGTGTACCTATGGAATAAACAAGCAGTGAAGTATGGCCAAACCTCAACTACGTAATAGGTAAAATTGAAATAAATCTTTTTGTAATTAGTGAGTACTATACTTCTTCAAGGAATAGCTTCTATTTAATCTTCATTAGCTTCAGGCCGTAAAAGAAATGAATGGTGCTATTAGCTATTAAAATTTTTGATAGACGTTGTACTAGTTTTTAAAAACCCGCTATAAGAGTATCTTCACGAATGCTACAACTTATGTTTTGGTTAATATAATTCATCATCGATTTTGATGTTCACTGCAAATATCTTGAATTTATGTGGCTCTCTGATTTAGCGGTGGGTCGTAATGTGTTACAAATAATGGTAAATTGGTTAATGTTATCGTCTATCTATATTAGCAGTGTGTCGTTTTCATTGAACTAAATTACATAGAAACGACAACGAGTACAAAATGTTTGCACCGTGAGTTGTTGGCGATCGGCAACAGCTCACCTCATTCAATCACTCTCCTACGCTCAGCGAGACAATGTGTCTAGATTGTGACTACACGAAAATTAAAAAAAAATGCCGTCATGCATCCTAAAACATGCAAAAATATTTTAACTGCGAAGCAAAAAGATGTTGGAGTGACATATCACCGCTAAGTTAAAAAAACATGTACTAAAAACCACTAAATTTAATATTTGATAATAATTTACTGCCACACGTGGCAGTGGCTGGCTGCCATTTCTATATGAAAAGTGAACCATACAGATGGGAAACGCACAAAACTACCGACGACCGGTTTCGATGGTTCTTTTTTATTAAAATTAGTATTGCTTGGACTCATTTATTTAATTACTTATTTTATTTAAACGAAATATTTTAATCTAACCATGTTTAAAATATCTAAAGAAGTCTTCGAAAGTATTAACATGATTTAAATAGTACGGGACAGCCACTAATTTTTACGACGAGTGGATTAATTTCCCTTCGAATGTGTATACTCTTTTCGATATACCTTATATAGTACTCACTAATTACAAAAAGATTTATATCAATTTTACCTATTAGGTACGAAGTTGAGGTTTAGCCGTTCTTCACTGCTTGTTTATTTTATAGGCACACGACACCTTCGTACCTTGTTGAACAAAACGCGTAAGCGACCCCGTTTTGGCGGCGTTTACGACTTTTTTCTCGCGGGCATTGAGCTTGCTAACTACACCTTACAGAAATCTAGCGCTACCTGTTGTGTGACGTTTGACTAAACAGCATAATATTTTTAGCGCGGTATCTAGATTAAAGTTACAAAGTAACCATAATTACTGCAAAAATTATTTACAGACAGTACGTAGTACATAGTATCACGATGGTCGTTACCTTCTGTATTATATCTATTGTTGCAATTTTCTTGATTTGTTGAGGTCCTCCGATTTTGCGGTGGGTCGTTATTTATTATAAAAAACAACATGCGTGCAGCTCATACGCGACAGAAGTGAAACCTTCAAATGAAATGAAATATAAAATACAAATACTTTGTGGCAAATGATTTATTTAATATTATTATTTAAACTACAAATTCTTCATAAAATATAAGAAAATAAACAATCATTTTCATATATATATATATATATATATATATATATATATATATATATATATATATATATATATATATATATATATATATATATATTGGTGGAGCCACGTGTTTAAGGCTGCCGAAAATCTAGTTCCCCGGTCAAACCTCAAACCTATTACGCGAGATATTAACTAAAGTGGACTGTATATGCGATTGCTTCTACGCTTACGTCAAGCGACTACTATAGCATGCGGTACAATGCACTCGCTCTTCCCTAAACTAAACTATTACTTGTCGAATCGATGAAAGGAATCCTGCTTGACTAGGAAAAAAAACACAGATTGGAGCGGGTTAAATTATTAGCAAGCAGGTATAATTAAGGAGTATTGACTCACCGGGGTTTCTTCTTCCTGTCGATCACTATAGCGGCGACTTCCGGAACCTCCTCTGGACAGACACTTCTGGGGCCCCAGTGGTGCGTCAGGAGAGAAGAGTTGGTTCAACGACGACTGCGGCGGGAGAAGAGGCTCGCGCATCGGTCGCGCGTGTCTTATATATCCTCGGCTCGGGTGATTACGCGATGTTCTAGAATCGTCTTCTTTCCCCTCCCACCCCACCACCCCGATGTGTCGATAGGAGGGTACGAATGATATTGTTTGGAAAGGAAATAATGATTCTACAAGTTCCTACCGTCAAAATAAAAAAACGCGAATGGTTTTCCGCGCAACCATCTCCCCCGCCCTTGAAGGATTTCCTTCAAAAAAAATAACTAAACAACTAGAGCTAAGATCGACTAACAAATAACTAACTAACGCTAAGATTACCTAAATTAAACTACAATTTCAGTCTAGAAAGCTAATTTAAATTATGGAAGAGGCAAGGGGCACAAACGGATAACAGGACGTAGGTAAGACCCAACCGTGGTCTTAACGCGAGCTATCCTAATTACTCCGTCGGAACCGGGAAAGACCTCCTCGACGATTCCTAACGGCCAGTGGAGAGGCGGCGTATTCTCCTTAGTGGGCACAACTACGGTTCCTACAGCTAAAGGCTCTGTCGCTGTGTTCCATTTTTGCCGAGACTGCAAAGTATGCAAGTATTCCATCCTCCATCGTTTCCAAAACGATTGCACTAACCGATCTAATAATTTGTGGCGTGTGGAAATGCTAAGTCTGTTCTCATCCATATCCGCGGCGGGCAGATACCTTAGAGGCGTTAAAGTCAAAAAATGTGCTGGAGTTAGAGCCAGCGGTTCCGAGGGGTCACTAGATAACGTCCGACAAAGTGGGCGGCTATTCATTACGCATTCAATTTGAGCGAGCACCGTACTTAGCTCTTCGAAGGACAAAATTTGATCTCCTATTACTCGGTATAAGTGGCTCTTTAGACTTTTAATATTAGTCTCCCAATTGCCCCCAAAATGACTCGCGGCTGGGACGTTCAGAGACCACTCAATGCGGTTCTCGGCTAGAATGTGAGCGAACTCCGAATTATAATACTTGCTAGCTAAGAGCTCGTGTAGTTCCGATAGAATACGTTTTGCACCGACGTAGTTCGTACCGTTATCCGAATATAATTTACTTACAGGGCCTCTGCGCGATAGAAATCTTTTAAATGCACCCATAAAGCCTGCTGTGCTTAGATCACCAACGAGTTCTATATGCACTGCTCGAGTAGTTAGACATACGAAAATGCAGACGTAAGCCCTTGTGGATCTTATACCACGCCCGCGAGTGAGCGTGACCTTAAACGGACCAGCAAAATCAGACCCGGTGTGCGTGAAGGGCTTTACCGATTGTATCACTCTACAAGATCTAAGTTCCGCCATTTCCGGAAATGACGGCTTGGGGCGTGCCCGAAAGCAAGCTATACATCTGTGCACCCGATTGCGTATTAAACTACGTGCAGAAAGAATCCAATAATTCTGACGCAAGATCGACATCAATAAATCGGGGCCAGCGTGCGAGTTCAATTTATGATGATAATCGACTAATAAGTTCATGATATGGTCTTTACGCGGTAAAACTATAGGGTGCCGTTGGTCGAAACTCAATTGCGAGTTGGACAAGCGTCCACCTACCCTTACAATCCCATCCTGTAAAAATGGCTTAAGGCGTTGAAAGGCGCGACTACAAGCTCTATTCGATTGTAATCTTGTAATTTCTTCAGAGAAGTGCGCACGTTGAAGTTCACGTAATACTAGCGACTCGGCATGGTTGTAATCGGATGCTAAGACATACGGACGTCGCGGTAAAAGCTTCGCGAATCGACAAACGTAAATTACGCTACGCAATAATTTCGACCAAGAGGACAAGCGGTTCGCCAGAGCAATGATTGGAGAAACCTCGCTCGAAACGTTCGCCACTAGAGCGTGTCTCTTCTCTTCCGGCGGTTGTGACACTGACGAAGGTTCGAAATCGGTTATTGGCCATTGTGAGGGATCCAAGTGAACCCAAGAAGGTCCATGGAACCAAAGCGGGTGGTCCATTATTTGCATCGGGGTGAGTCCCCGGGATAGACAATCGGCAGGGTTTTCCTTACCGGACACGTGATAAAAGTTCCGCGTTTCTAACTCGTCTTGGATCTTGGCCACTCGGTTCGCGACAAACGTATCCCAACGGTGGGGTGAAGAATGAACCCAACATAAGGCGACGGTGGAGTCGGAAAAGGCAAATATTCTTTCTATGTGAACTCTATCCCTACATGCGCCGATAACTGTGGTAATAAGCTTGGTGAGTACTAATATTGCGCAAAGCTCTAAGCGCGCCAGAGAGACAACCTTACGGGGGGAGACTCTCGACTTAGAACTAATGAGGCTAATCGAATTTCTACCATTATTCTGGACATGGAAATATACAACGCCCCCGTAAGCCTTCTCGCTGGCGTCTGCAAATCCAACAACCGTTATGCTGCTATTTCTATCGACATTTATATGACGCGGTATTTTAATTTCTCTTAGTAAAGGAAGTTCCTCTCTAAAGCGCTGCCACAATCGAACAATGCTGTCAGGCGGCGAGTCATCCCAATCGCATTCAAATAACCAAAGTTGTTTAATCAAAAAGCTTAGCGTATAATACCACCGGAGCTACGAAAC